TTGTTTGTCTGTTTTAACTCTGCCTCAAATGTCTCTATTTGCTTTTGTCTCAGCCCAAGATCAGATTCAGCTTTGTTCCTTTCTAGATTCCTTTCTTACATCCCCCCTCCTTCTCAGCTTTTAAAAGGGAAGAAAGACATTGATGTTGCTTTTGTTGCTTTTGTGTTGTTCTTGTTGTCTCAAGTATTTTTATGTTGCAACTTTGCTCTTTAAACCCTCTTTCTTTAAAAACGGACAATGGCCCTACCTTTTGTTCATCTGCGTCTGCAGAATTGCAAATAATAATAATAATAATAATAATAATAATAATAATAATAATAATAATAATAATAATAATAATAATAATAATAATAATTCTTGCAAAACAAAACAAAAAAGGGGAATTTTCCCTCATTTGCCAGAATTTGCCAAAAGAAAGGCAATGCCTGGCTGCCTCTTTGTTTATGATTAACCATTTTGAATTGTTTAAGACTAACCATTTGAATTTATCTCTTAATGCAGCTACTAATCATTTGTCTCTCAATACAGTACTAATCAGAGCTACTAATCAATAAATTTTCCTTACTTTAGCATTGATTGCAAACCGTTTCATGTTTCTCTTACCTTCTCCTTCACCAATTCTCATGCATGTGCCTCATTCTTCAGCCCACTATCCTTCCTTGCTCTGTCTTGCTTTTTCCTTCTGCATGCACTGATCAAAATGGGGAAGGTAAGCCTCTTTCTTGAATCAACATATCCAGACCAGACCAGTGATGGAGACCTGAGCCTAAGATGCCAGATGGACCCAGACTGCCTCCAACATCCAGGCAGAGGTGCCAGTCCTGCACAGCAGTCAGAGTGTCATCCCAAAGGGTCATCAGAAGCACCAGAGGCCCTGAATCATGGCGCTCCCCTGCCCCAGACTTGCGCCATCCTCGCAACTTCACAGGCTCCTCCATCACCTAGGTTCCATGCAAGGAATTGCTCCCTGCGAGTCCTCATAGACAATGTTAAGTCAACAAAGCACATTTCCAATCACTCAATAAACATCATGGCTCAAATCAAGGACTCTGACCTCTCACC